CAGTAGGATTCGCTGTGGGATCTGGCTGGGTTGTGGGGACAGGGACGGGCGCTTCCGTTGGAGGGGCATTGCTTGGAGGAGATGTGAAAACTCGACGATCCTCCTTTTGGTATTGTTTGGTGTAAGGGGGTTTGGCCTCMYTTCCGCCAGCGAAAAGAGTCTCRCCGTCAGGACCGATTGCTTTGTAGTAGCCAGATCCTTTCAAGCAACAAATGCCATCATYGAACAAATCCRTGATAATGAATACCATCTCTGTGCCGTACGGTAAGCACAACAAGCGTGTGTCGGGTTCTACATCAGTGTCCGCTTGCCACTTTACTTTGTAGTCTTTTCCGTAAGCTACCGTAGTTCCAGTAGCCGTATCCTCGATCGACCAGATGAYATCKTCAGGATACATATCTGGCAAGAGTTCCAGTTTTACAGGATATTTACTGTCAGGGCAACTGTCTTCRTCCTCTCCCTTCTCCGGTGGTGCTCTTTCGACATCACTGACCTTGATCTTAGCCACTCCGTCAATCAGGGACTCTAMTGAGATTTTCACTTCTTTCCCTTCGTTGTTGTAGTTCTCAATGATGTAGGATTGTCCGAAACCCAACTGAGTCAGTTTTGTGGATGACCCATAAATGTATGGCCCTTCGATGTCTTTTTGGTAGATAATGACATTATTAAAATCCTCTTTGACGCCACTGACCATTCCTTCTGCTTCGTTGAATCCAATGTAATAATCATTAGCTCCGGTGACAGGAAGGTCGGGCGTTAGCAAACGCAGAATRACAACTTGTGATTTGTCTTCTGTATAACGATGAAGGCCAACCAAGGAAAATTCTTGAACRGGATTCGCTTCTGCGAGTGGGTTCATGTCCACGATTTGGTCTTCGTACCATCCGAGCTGGTAACCCTTCACGTGGTTGAAGCATATTCTATCGAATCCCACTCCAACCTCCGTATAGGASAGTCCCATAGCACCTATTCTGTCGTCCAGAATTTTGYCYTCGCCCGAATGTGCAAGATTCATGTTGTGACCCTAAGTGTTCGTGAGGACAAGACAGAAGCAGATGTTGAGTGTTGGTTGGATGTTAACCAAAAGATGAAACGTCACGACACTCCAGCAAGCAGTGCACCCGAGAAAACAAACAAATCAAACAAGGAACTACGTACAACTTCGTGCAATTTAAGCGATATACTTCTGCACCAATCASCGTCATCGTTGTAGAAGCTGATTTTGTTACCCGTGAGAGATAAGCCCAACCATTCTTTGACACCACCGGGGCTCAACGTGCCGGCAGGGAGRCAAAATTGGATCATGTCAAACTTATCCAACAGTGGATCATCGAAACGATCTCTCAGAAGGGCACTGGCTTTATTTGTGACAACGGATCGCTCGGTCACACCTTCGATGATGGGAATGTCGATTTTGATGTCGACAACACCGTTGATGCCTTCSTCTGCGTTKTTGTACGGCACGATATCGAGTTTGTCATAAGAGCAGGCCCTAATTTGATCAGACATGGAAAGATATTCGTCATTCGCGAATGTTTCGATGAACAAATCTTTCGYCGATRCATTAGGTTCTTTGTTGTCGCTCCCGATCACTCGAACCATGAGCCCGATTTGTTTGCCAYTATGTGGAAGGAGTTTTCGACGAGTGCTGTGCGCCAGATTGTCGACKCGAATAGTGGTATCTTTAGGGATAAATAGTTCCGCAGCGCCCGGCGTCAGAACAGCCGAAGAAAGGAGCAATCGCGATTCTCCAGGTATCGCTCCTTGGGAGTTGATAAAATCATCGATATCCACGTCAGCGCTGCGAAGGTCTGGAAACATGATACTATTGAGTTGGTGTTGGTTCTCATCGTTCGAATCGGTGCTGACRATGTCACCACAGACCCAGGCTCGTTCCTCGATGTGATTTGTCTTGACGATGGTGTGTTCGTGTTCCTCAGAGTCCTCGGTTGCTTGTGTTCCATCTGAGAACACATTGTTGGTCTCGGTCACTTGCTCCAGTCCATCGCTTTCTGCAAGATAAAGTGTGCACACGATATCATTGATGACAAAAGATGGTTTAAAAAAGGGATTGTTAGCGTCGACGTCTCCAGCAGAACCACGAATCGTCTTTTGTGACGATGAATCCGTTGGATGAYCGAGATCGAGACCGARTTCGGAGTTGAGGTTGGCAGTGGATTTCGTCTTCGAAACGAACACGCCAATCGTTGTAGTAGCTAGCGCGACAAAGACCATCGYTGCGATCGTGTGTGAGCGAGATGTGGGAGACATTGTTGGACTGTAGTGCTTTACGTATTTTGTTTCGAAGGTCAGTCAGTAATGGATGTCTTCCGGTTTTTGAGTTCTGCTGAAGCGGGGACAAGAGCAAACCATAGGATGAGTGAAACAAATACAACGACAAAAAGAAATGCAAACATGATACCAYGACAGGATGATAATGCCTACCTTCGATTGAGGATAGAGGTATGATTCAAGCGTATCCAAATGAAGAGGCGATGCGTTGAAGGATTGATGTTGGCGCGGGAAAATGGCCTTTGTGATTGACGATTTATCAGGAAATGAGACCGTCGAAAAGATTCAGCTTCTTTTGAAGTTTTGATGAAAATTGAAAATAATGGTTATTGGTTCATGTTTCTCTCTGTAGGTGCTATGTTTCAGACCACGGTTCTGTATTTGTTTGGCCCATTTCGTGCACTTKTTCTCTTAAGCGATTCCGTTGGGAGCAATTTGCTTCATACGGAACGTCCACCTGTTGAAGGTTATGTTACTAACCCTTGAACTCCTTTAAGAAAAATCTGTAATTCTGCATAGCTATCGGGATCTGAAACAATTGATAAAATTATTTATCACAGAACAATACTTAAGAGGACAGGATTAAGTAGCCAAGAAGGTACAAAATACGGTACTGTACTTCTACCTTACTAGCTTGAGGTGCAACTTAGTCATAATTCTTCCTCCGCTGTGATCGCCAAAGCATTGTTTTCGACAATTGCTAGACACAGCATGATACAGCACATGACGTAATCCCGTTTCAACAAYGTCGCTACATTTTGTGTGGGCCAGATCGTCATTTCCAATCTTAAAAATGGAAATAGAGAACCTTCATGGCTATAACAAAAATTTCATTATCCCACTGTCGTTGTTCATTGATGATTTTTCGGTCGTGATTGATAGAAACAATAGTCGAACACGAAGTGTCGAGATGATTAATGGAAAGATTATCGAAGGTATTTGACACTTATTTTCTGACACGATTCTTTTGYTATGACCCATTGAGTCGAACGATGACACAAAAATGATCAAAGACAAACTAATTTTTATCTTAACTCGAGCACGTTATGTGCGTTTTGTCTTCTTTAGTGTCACAAAAAATGTCCCAGTGGACTTGATAAGTGATAAAATTATTAAAAGACTTCGTCGATAGGTCTAGATGGAAGCCAAAGGCTGTATAATATAATTCTTTGTTCTTTGTCGTTGGATCTAAACACAGTTCTAATCGTTCCGTTGAGARAATATTTTTGGCGAAGCTATTGTCATCTCGTAGCTGTTCTTCAAAAACTCCACCCAAGATCCCAGTACGTGAGCTCAGTACGTCAGTTCAGWTTCTGAGCAGGATTTGGCGTTTTCATAAACCAACCAACAAGTACAAGTATTTACTTAGTGGAATGAAATGATTTTTTATCTCCGCGAATAAAGCTTCTATTCTGTGGAAAAAAATTAGTCGCGGCTAGTCTTGTACTAGTACGTCTTGTATTATCACGTACGAAATTATGGTAAAACAATTATCGTACCTCCTCGCAGGTTACCGTATCATACGCTATTTAGAAGTATTGAAATGTTATGGGATTGTTGTTGGTCTCTCGAACACCGTTTGTAGTTTGTTGTCTCCGATACAGATATACTCACACGTACTATACGTAACGTGTGCCCGGTGAGGTGTTACGTCCTAAAGCTACTGCAATGCAATATGGTATATAGTGGTATTGAAGCTGCTCCATTTCTGAGCGGAAAATACGATACCTCGCCGATCTGTGCGTATGCAGGAATACTGTAGCGTACCTAATTTCTTAATGAGCTGTTGAAGATCACACTTTACGGCGTTACTGTGAGAACCATGGTTCAACATGGCCCCTGGGTTCAACAGGTGGAGGATCGGATGCGAAACACAACTTTTGTATCTTCGTACTGTACCGTACA